TGTAGGTGGGCTGGCGTCAGCGGTACTTTATCTCAGTGGCAAAACACATGGGCTGTGGGGTGTGCATTTCCTGTATCAACATACTCTTTTTCACCGTACCTGCATGCATCCAGTACTGTATACCTGAAGCTTCTGTCTGCGCTGTTTCCTGTATTGTTGTATAAACAGAGGCTTAAACGTTGGCAGGGAGCAACACAAAGACCGACTTAAATTACAGCTTGAATTAATGAATAACTCCTTCTGGAGAATCTGTGATATTTCCCAGTGTTGGTAGAACAGATGACTTGTCATTTGTCCTTTGTTTAATGTTTTAATGTTTTCAGGTTAATAATATCTTATCTATGTATTTGCTCTTACATGACCTATTTTGTCAACCGTACTAAAGGTCATCGGTTCTAGAAAAGCTATCTATAGTTGCAGACTATTTACAATTCCTTCCTCTTGGCTGTTAAGCTGGGGCCATTCTTTGGTGCAAGAATGTTCAACATAGTGCCCGAGGCCCCTAAGAGGCACGGGTGTCAATTTTATGTGGCCTTATTTAAATGCATCTTTATAGTATTAATTATCTCAATCCCTTTGTCAAAACTTTTGATGCATGCGTTAGTAAAAAAAATAAAATTGTCAACAACTGTCTCTTCCACAGGACCAACAAAGGAGGTGTATCATGACAACAGTGTGACTCGTGCAGTGTTTCAGAGGAGTTTGTCCCCGGTCGTCCGTGTCCCACCAGGCTGTGCATCTGTTGACGCTCGTCGGCAAAAAACATTAACATTTTACGACTTTGACGACTTCAACAATCGACTCTTTTCTCATGATCCCACCGACAGCAGCTTCAATCACTGCAGGCGAAATTATAATGACTCTGGTAGTATCAACTACACAGCAGCGGCTGCCAAGAAAACCAGAGTCTGACAGCAGCTCCTTATTTCTGGTGGGAACGCGGTGCTGTAACTCTCGTGGTTCTCACAGCGTGAATTAGTGAGAGCCCACGCCTCACCCCGCCTGGCCTCACCCTTCCTTTCTCGCAGACAGAAACTCAACAGCCAGAGTGTCTGCCGCTGGCTCGTGAATCTGATCCAACTCTGCTCAGCAACTGCGTACAACCGAGGTTGATAAGAGCGCGGGAGAACAAGCTCGTGTTTACACAAAGCGCCCGACGTGAGCGGTTAGTGACACAGATCTGATCTGATCTGAGGAGCAACAGAGTGAAAATGTGGGGTCGTGTTTTTAGGTGGAGCCGGAGACGGTTTTTCACTCAGCTGGGAAAGTGCTGACTGTTGGAGACGACTACTTTTAGCTCTGCCTGCAGAGTGGGAAACTCCTGGCTGCAGAGACGAGAGAGTTTGTGCAGGGGGAGGGGTGTACATGAGAAAGATGATAAAATTGCGTGTGTGTGTGTGTGTGTGTGTGTGTGTGTGGGTACACATGAGAGAACAACTATATACTGGCTTGTGGCTGGGGCCCAGCTCTTTGAACTCTCTTTTGTTCAAAGCAACAGACATCTGTCTAGACACCAAATATCGCCTTCCCTCAGCTCACTTTTTTTTCTTCTTGTACTTGTAAGCTGGTGTACAAAGTCAGACAGACACCAGGATGACGATTGTTCAAGGTCTTTTGATATGACCAGCCACAGGGTTATAGCCATTAATTCATGGGTTTTTTAATTTTATAACCAATGTCAAACTTTGGTGCAATCGTATTTACATTTTCACGAAAGGGGGCGCTGCAGATAATGTTTGGGTGCCACCATATAAACGGAGGTGTAGCAGATACTACAGAAGGCAACGGATGATGATTCCACCCACAGTCTGCTGCACAGGCTGCAGGTAGTTTTCTACACACCTCCCTCACTGAGTCACCCTCGCCGAGGTTTCCAGACTGTGCTGACGACTGGGGAGAAATATGCAGCCCGTCTGCATGAAGCTCTGTGTTTCATCCAGTGACTGCGGCTGCTCCCTTACTGTTGTTGCTGGTTTTTTTTGTTTTTTTTGCAAACATTTCTGTGGTTGTTTACGTCTGATGTCCATACATTTAAGTGACGTTTATGGTTTTTCCATTTTCCATATCAAACCCACATTCCAGCCAAAGCCTTTGCTAATGAAGCGAGACGATAGTCTGTGTCTGCTGGTGTGTTTTTTTGTTTGTTTTTTTTCCCGTTTTTGTCCTTGAAGGAACACTGTTGATACTGATGAACTCTGTGTTATAGTCTGTTTATCCTTAAATGGTTGAGGATAAAAAAATGTGACCTGCCCTTTAAAGATCAACTCAATGGAAAAGTCTGAGATATGAGCCTTACTTGTTTCTTGTTAGATAAGTCCTAAGTGCAGCCCATGGTTTTTTTTTTTCTTGAGCTTGGAAACTATTTTACTTTCAGGAAGATCTGCTCATTTTAATTAGCAGCTGCTAATGCCGCTCAGATAGAGAAGTGAAAAGACCACACACTGCACAGCTGACAGCACCGACTCTCCTTTTAGTCTTTCATGGATGTCACGTCTTCGTCATCGGCAAATTTAAGAGTTTTCCTTGGGTCTGAGCTGCAGTGCACGCGCTCTCTCCGAGTTTTTCATCTCTGAGCGTTGGTGTTAACAGCATTGACTCATAATGGTCGCCTGTCTTTGGCACTTTGAACTGCGGGCTAATGAATGGCATGTGTGTGGGTGGGTTTTTTGTGTGTGTTTATGTGCATGTGTGTCTAGAAGGTATGGTGCAGCAGCAGGGACTCACCGCTCCCTGCTCTAGGTGGCCATGGTTCCTCTGTGGATGTTGTGATCTGTTGTGATGGGGTGGTCTGGTTTCTGATTTGTGGAGGTAACGCCACACACTCATGAACACGCTGTAAGGCTGGAGTTGGGCTGCTGGGCCTGGCATCACTTCACAGGGTCTTCACAGCTTGACTGAAGTGACTCAGTTAAGGTAGTTTGCCTGGGAGTGGTGGTGGTGGTGGTGGGATTTAAGACCTGCTTCTCTCTCCCACTTCACTCGCTTTTTCAAGCGATATTTTGGCGCCACGGAGCAGTAAACTATCAATTCTGACGATTTACTGGGTCCTTAATTACAGTCATGGGGGTGTGTGTGTGTGTGTGTGTGTGTTTTTATTTCTGTTTCACTCTCAGTCCCTTGTAGAGCTGCATCAGCACTTATCAAACAAAGGCAGGAACATGGCCCAGCCTGTTGTCCCATTAGCCTTTATTCAGCTGCAGCAAATGAGTAACCATTATAAGGCCGTGCATGTTTCTGTAGCAGAGTGACATATTGAAGGCAGTGAAGGTGATAAACTCATGTTAAGGTGGCAAAACGCATCAACAATGCGTGTAAGGAGACACACCCCGGGCAGACATCTGCACGTTGTTTCTACCTTTTCACTTTAATCATCATCAATCCACTTCCATTAACCCCGTCACCTATTGTCACTTTCGCCGTACCTCCTTTCATCTGTTTGATGTGTCATGCGGTGACATTCGCTCGCTGCGTAGAGGGTGTGATTTGTTTCCCATCACATCTGACCGAGTCACAACAGCAACGTAAATCCACGCTGGGGAATGAGACGTACGTCTACGTCTTGTTTAATTCCAGTTTCCACGTCCAAAACAACGCTGTATGAAACGCTCTCATTCAAACTCGCAAACGTATGAATGTCCAGACCAAGCCCTCCAGTAAACTAAGACTCAGTTCAAGTAAAGTGCAGTAAAGAAATACTTCCCTTGACAGCTTTGTCAGCAGGTATTAAATTGTATTTTAATCATGTGAAATGATGTTCATTTTGTGGCAGACCAGCTGCAGGAATATTACCATTTTTTCAGTGTTTTTTTTTTCAGTCCAGTTAAAAAGATGTTTTCCCTCTCACCTGTGGCGTCTGTCTTTATGACTCAAAGGGGAATGTTTTCTCAGGGAGATAAGTCTGCCTTACATTCTAGTCCACGGCCCTTTCATGTCTCACATTCGTTTTATCAACATTTTTTGCCCTTTGAGTCATTTCTGCCGCGCTTCCTTTGGAGTGATTTGTTGTCTTCGCAAGAAAAACCTCTTTAATCAGCCACGGCTGGGCAGATGCCTGAGACTGAAGAATTCCTTCCCTCCCTTTCCCATTTCCCTTATTTGTCCTTTATTCTTCCCCAACTGTTTGTTCCTGACACAAACGCAGAGCAGACCGGCCCAGCTGCAGCTGCAGCAGCGCAGACGTTCAGGACATCCTGCAGGAGTCCACTCAGGGTGGAACGCAGAACGCAGGGCAGATCGTTTACTGTATGTTCATGTCCCAGTGTTGCAGCAGTAAGGTGTTGAAATTAAGCAGTGCATAAATTCCTGGTAGCAGTGTGAGTGAGTGAGGCAGGCAGAAAAAAAAAGCTCTGGTTCTCATTCACATAAAGAACGTGTGATCATGCAACAGCAGTTCTCCTCTAGATGTCATTGTGAACTTCTAAGAAAGGGTTCTTCCTGTTCCCTGCTGAGAAATGTTGCTTTGTCAAGAAGTCATGTGAGAGTTTATTGCAGCAGTATTACAGGAAATATTTGTAAGAGCAGTGAGACGAGTGGCCATAAAAAGGAAACTAGAAGACGAGGGAGAAACTCCGGAGCCAGATCTCCCACATGGACTCTAGGATGTGTCCGGGCTTGTTCCCCTGCAGTCTGTGAATAATTAGCCTGAGCAGCAGCAGCAATAGCAGCAATAGCAGCAGCAATAACAGAAGCAGCAGCAGCAAAAACAGCAGTGGTTGCAGCAGCACACTCATCCATCTCACTGTCATGGTCAATCACTGTTGAGCCAAAGAAACATGCACTAGATGTTTACCTTCTTCACAGAAATCTACTGCACTGCACTACAGTACACTACAGTACACTACAGTACACTACAGTACACTGCAGTACACTGCACTATACTATATTTCACTACACCACATCAGTTCACTGTACCGTATTGTAGAAGTTGGAGAATTATCAATCTGTCCTTCACCCAGACGTGTTCATTGTTAACATGACTGTTTCTTTCTGTTCTCCCACAGTGTTACCAATCATCCAGGATGTCTTCAAAGCCTCACGGTTCCAACAACATCGTCCACGCCCGACGGATGGTGCAGCAGCTGAGAATAGAGGCGAGCCTTGAGAGGATAAAGGTAGAGTGAAACAAGGAACCCAGTTTTCTGTCTGTGTGTGCGCGCAAGTGAAATATCCCATCCAGTCCCAACTGTAAATTAGGTGTTAGCTGCAGACATGAACTGTACTCAGTACTGTGCCAAAGTTCTAGGTGTTTACGTTCACTGTCCACCGCTCGCTTTGCAGCCCATTTCTCCCCGAGCGTATAAAACAAGCTCACGTTCAATTGACAACATTCGACCGTAGAAGACGCAGCCGTAAACCTTGTTGTTGAATTGGTCACACTTGCAACACAGTGCAAGAAAGAAGTTTTGAGAAAATTTAACGCGACGTCCGGAATGCACCGCGGAGTGTAAGAGTGACGCGTACGATCGTCCTAGTACGTATGGCAGCCGTCCTCTGCACATCAGATCAGGGCGGGCGCGGTGACTGCGTTTGTGTGATGGTGACCTCGACTCCTCCGTGTCTCTCCAGATATCCAAGGCCTCTGTAGACCTCATGAACTACTGCAACGAACACGCGAGGAACGACCCCCTCCTCATGGGCATCCCTGCTTCAGACAATCCCTTCAAGGACAAAAAACCATGCACTATATTGTAGTCAACGCCACTTTAGCCTTTTACGTGTGTTGGATTTTTTTTTTTTTTGTTGCTTTTTCTTGTCTTGTCTTTATTCTGTCCGTTGGCAGGAGTGAGTGGGTGAAACTGTGAGTTCAGTTCAACAATCATTTTGTCGGAGATATCAGTGCATTAATAATGAAGTGCTGTGATTCTGCCCTGTTCTGTCTGAACCATGGTTCACTCACACCCTCGTCCAGGTTGAGCTCTGACCACTACGTGACTTTGGCTGCATGAGGAACATCAGGTAAACATTTTCTGACAGTAGTTATTGTCCTTTTATTTTTGTTTTTTTTTTTGTTCCTTGGTATTTTAACAGCTCTTCTTCTCCACGGTGCGACTGTCATCACAGCCCAGGTCTGGCTTCCTGTCCTTAGAAAATAGTCAAAGATGAATAACTGTCTTCAGGCAGCATGAGCTGCAGTGTCCCATAGGTGTGTCCAGTATAGTAGACCACTGAAGTAGACCTTGAGCCTTTGACTCACATGTTACCACGATGTATATTTAATGGAGGCAGTGTTTCACCAAACTATGAAGTATTTTGCCACTGAGCCCCGCCTCGGGTGCAAGCATTATGTATGAGCAGAAGGATATAGGAGTTAAACGAATGTAGTGAGTACAAGCCTGCACTGTTGTGCTAAAGCAGTACAGAATACTAAGAAGTACTGCAACAGCTGCTTCTTTGTGCCTCCGCTGGTGGACTTTGAGTGAAAGTCAGCCTTAAAAATCCAAATCCACTTAGTCCAGCGCTACATTTATCTTCATTTGTGTGTAGCCTGCGCTCCAGCCCAAGCAGTACCACCCCCCCACACTCCCCCCTTCCAGGGTATTTAGCTTTTCTGAAGCTGGTCTGCAGTTCTATATAAAAAGGTTTTCCTTCAGGTTAGACACTCGGCCAAACCTCCGACTCTGAGACAATCCACATCCACACGTGTGTGTGTGTGTGTGTGTGTCTGTCAACTGCCGAATCATCAACTCTGTTAAGATCTGTTGTTTTCCCATGGGAATGAAATGAGTCTGGTGTTGTGATGGTCCGTGGAAGTCACCCCTGGGAGTTTTGTTTTTCTCTATGTTTGGGTGCTTTGAAAATGTGGCTTTTTATGAGGAACAATTCAAAAAAAAGTAATGTCATTAAATGAGCGTTAATAATTGTAACAGTGTGTGTCGTTAGCACGTGCACCAAGCCTGGACAGAGTTGTTTGTACCGCTGAAAGGATCGTAAGCGTTCACAATTATCTAACAAAACAATGGCCGTAGAAAACAATGAAGGGAGTTGTTGGAGGAACTCCTCACGTTTAAGACCATTTCCAAGCACAGTTCTGTAACTGTAACTACAGTTACACAAATTATTAATAGGATTTAGGTCAGCGGGGCTGTAACCTGTTGGCAGACACAAAGCCAAGAAGAAGAGATGTACTGTTTGACGAACAAGGAACTGAGTTGTGAAAAACAGATCTGGCGGTGTTTGTTATGAGCAGGCTAAGACTTTAAGAACACCTGATCTGGCCTTGTTTTGTTTTTGTTTTAAACACACTGGAACCAAATAGTGAGCAAATGGTTATATTTATGGATCGTCCCTCCGGAGAATAGACCCCACATTCTGTTATCAGCACTTGAAATAGCTAATACATGCCTCGGATAGTTGTTAAATAACAGGGCTTCAAGCCTGACCCGTTTGGAACAGTCAGCTCAGAGAATAGTTCCTGTTGGCAGAAGCAGGGGGCGTCTTCATTTCGGGTTGGCAGCAGTTCCCACTTTGTGATGGCATAACAAGATATCAAGTCAAGAGTTGTATAATCTCTGTCGGTGCCATTGTGTTCGTGTGTGAACCGAAAAAAGCAGAAACATGGACTTAACAGTAATGAGTGCTTGTTGTCAGTGTTTCAGCGAGAGCTGTAGGTACCAACGCATTTGTCCACATGGGTGCTAGCAGCGGCTAACTGCACAGTTGTTACATTAGGGTCAGCGCTATTAAAGAGCTTGATTGGCGTTGACTTGTTTTATAGTGAATGCATTTAATTTAATGACATTACTTACGAGGATCCACACGTGTAGGAATATATATATAGGTATATATATATATATATAACTGGATCATGTGGACCAATCAAACTGATACTTTCAGCCATTCCTTTAAAGAAGTTGTTTTTTTATGCTGTGTGTCAGCACATATTACACAGTGAGCCACACCCACTCACTGACTCTGAATCCAATCATGTGACCCGGCACGTTGTTGACCTGTCAAGTGTTTTTGGGTGCGAGTATTGTGAGCACAGGAATAAATGGTAGTGTCTATTAATGAGTACGAAAACCCACTCTAACCAGGAGACTGCGCCAAAACTTGGTCTTTTTTTTTTATTTTTTTTATTTTTTTAAATCTTCTATTTTGATGTGTAGCGCCTGTGTCAGTGAGGGTCTTAAATCGTCAGCCTAACATGTACTGTGTATCTGCTGTGGTAAAATTAATGGGGGGAAAAAAAGTCCTTACACTCTTACGCCTTACTTACTTTGCCTTGTGTCGAGAAGAACACTCTGTGTGTGGGTACTTTACTTAAAAAATAATAATATCTTGAATATCTTTCTATCATTTTTAATCAGGTGAACTTCTGTGATTTGTAACAATACCGTGCCATCTGTGTTTTTATCTACACACCGTGTGCTTTTTGGGCAGTTTTCCAACTTCTTCAATGGTACTTTTGAATCTCCTTTTCTTTTCTTTTTTTTCAGCCGACTGTTTGGTTTTATAATCCACTCTGATAGTTGGTTCTTTTTATTGCAATAATATAATCCATCCTGTTTGCCTTGTCAAGGGAGAATTCAGAACAACACTGCCATGTCATCTCACGTCGTATGCCCCGCGATGGCCTTAACGGATGATTTCCCTGTGAAACAAATGAGCATTTTCCATGAATGTCTTTATTAATACACACCTTTGTATGAAGATTTACTGAGATTAATAAATTGAAGCATTCCTTCCTACCGTACACTCCTATGAGGGATACATTTTTATTATACCATATAAACTAAAAAGTCATGCTTTATAAAAAAAAAAGAGAAGGTATCTTATAGGGCATGTCAAACTACCCACTAAATGCATCCAGGTGAAGTCTGTAGTAGAGAGTCTATGTTACTATGTTTACTTGATGGGTTAAATGCAGTGTCCGCGACTTAGACTGTGTTTGAAATTTAAACTGTGTCATTTCAACCTAGACGACTGTATCTGTACTGAGTTAGCCTAAAATTGTGGTTGTTATTGAAACTTGTTTTCAGGAGCATCTAGAAAAAAGCAGCACAGTGTGCTGCTTTTTTCTAGATGCTATAGATGCTATAGATGCTATTTTCCGATGCTATTTGTTGTTGGTATAAACAAAGCTCTGCACCAGTGCAGCGTTTTCTGCAGGAACATTCCTAGAAAGAGCGTGATCTGGCTCATCGTTCATCACTGTATTTTTGGTATATGTCTCTGGTTAAGACATCGTCCAACTAAAGTACGGGTTACACAGAAATCTGATTGTTCAGACCTAGCCTGCCCAGAGATAACCCCCCCCCCTGGAATATTTGGGACATTTCTTCCTGTTCACTTTATTTTTATCACACACGAGACCAGAGACACGTCCAGCTTTTCACTGCTGCTGTCGAACAGTCTAATTATAGAGTGTCCTGGAGAGCAGAGCGACTCTCCCTGTGTAACTCCTGCCCAGTCCGACAGTCTGCTGGTCTCCCCTGTCTCTCTGACCTTGTCCACAGCAGCTGCTTGTGCACAAAGACAATGGTCAAATCTCACAGGAATGACATCATCTATTGTAATGATAAAAATAGTCGATCGTACCATTTTTGAAGGAACCTGGCTATGACGCCACAAGAAAGACCTGCTGGCTATTGTTTAGCAATTGTCAGTTGCTAAACAATGGCTAGCAGGGTTAGCATAGACTGGAAAACCAAATAGTAAAAATGAATTTTAATAAGAATACTTAAAAAAAAGCTATGGTTAAAAAAAGATATAGTACACATAGTTTCCGGTAGCAATCTTTGTTGGAAGTATCACATTCCTCAGTACGTGGAGGTCAGTGGTCGGAGGCTGGTCAGGCTGTTCACTGGACATGTGCTCCGTGGTGGAGGCCTGTCCTGGCTGTTACACCGTGAGCTGGAATGTGCTGATGTAGAGAAGAGCAAGAGGAGGAGGAGGAGTGGAAGGTAAACATGGAGGTGCAAAATTGCACTGAAATAATAACTTGCATGAAAAATGTCCAATCGTCTGTCTGTCAAACACCCGGCCCGGGGGCCACTTCCGGCCCACAAACCCCCCAAATCTGGTCCAGGACTTGATGTAAGTAACGATTTAATTCTGCAGTATATACTGTATATTTCAGTGATCACAGGATCTTTGTGTTGATGTGCATTGGTTCAAATGTCTGTGGAACTGAAGAGTCCATTTCCACAGTTGACTCTCTGTATAGTCTGCGGCGCTAACTGTTATCTTAGCCTCATATTGACTTTTTTCCTACAGTAGTCCCTGAGCTGCTCTGTGTGTTTTTAACCTCACACACAATGACTGAGTCCAGTGCAGTATCAGAGGTGTGCGTTTACTATGTGGAGCAATGTACTGAAGCAAGTGTGAAATTCAAAGTGCAACGTGACTCATCAGATATCACGGTCTATGCTTTCATAAACGCTTATCTCAGACTCTTGCACACACACGCTGCTTCGGGGGGGGGGGGGGGGGGGTTGTTAGCACTTCACAACTGAGTGGCTTCAAGGATTTCTCTGCAGCCCCCAAGAAAAATAAAAAAACATGGAAGTGCACCATAGGGGCGCCCGCCCCACACTTTTAAAACCACTGACATAGACATAATGCATTGCCTTGCCCTCCGCCATGATTTATGACCTATTCCAAATATATACATAATCTTAATCCCTACTCTGCCCTCAGATCATTTGAGTTCAAGACCCCTGCCCTGATTCTAATCTGACTCTAGTTCAAATCCTAACTCTAAACTAAATCTGAATCCTGAAAAATACCCTCCTACTGAGGCCCTAAAGTGTCCCCACAACAGCCGTATACACACACACACACACACACACACACACAGTGCTGTTATCTGAAGGTAACCTTTTGCCTTGGATCACAGCACTGGAGCCACATTTGTCACCTGTCAGACGACCTTTTACCCAGTGAACAGCCAGATCTCTGCTGCGGCCAGAGTTGGTGAGCTCTTCTTCATTGTTTTTCACGTGTTCATTTGAATGCCATTACTGCAGACAAACAACATTCACATTCAGAAGCTGTGTGGGAAACAGAGAAGAACATGAGCACTGTTTTTATCTAAGGATCTGGGATTAAGGCTCCTCTCAGACCCGGGGCAGAAGAGTCAGGTTTTAGTGACTCAGTCCAACCTTTGTCACTCTCCTGCAGACCGGCCTGTTTGTCCTGTTCCTCTGGATCAGGGTTTGGACTTTCAGGTTGTTTTTTTTTTGGGAACCTGCAGGACAATTGTGCCAGAAAACACAGGAATGTGTTGATGGACAGTGAATACACGTGTAATGGTACAGAATGGATTAACTGCTGTGATTAGACTCCGTGACACTGACCACAGTCACATGCTCCAGCCTCACATGAAAATCCAGGGAGCGTTATGAAACTGGAGCCTTTGCCTCCTTCTCTCCTCGTGATGGTGACTCACTGCTTTTTACGCCTGACATCAACCCCTGACATCAGCCTCGTTCCACTGTACACACACAACCCGTCTGAGAAGTGGGAAAGGAAAAGAGAGAAGAAAAAAAAAAGCAGGCTGCCTTTCAACCGTCCTGTCCAACCGACTGCATACCAGATCCTCCTCTTTTAAACAAACTGTTTCTCAGGAACTTCATGCCGTCTGGTTTACTGGAAGCAGTCGCACGAGCAGCTTAATACAGTAAATCTCAGTGGATTTTAAACACAGCAGTCCTGGATATGACAGCTTTGTTTATTGGACTTCACACACTGCAGATTCTCAGTAGGGTTTAGGCAGGTCAATCAATTCAAATGTGTCTATCTGGAGATGTTTCTTTATCAGCGTGTAACTCTGTAGTGTTTGTCCAATACAAAAACACAGCTATATACAGCTGTAACATAGACTGTGGTGGAGACAACAGGTCCTCTAGGAAACACTAGAAGTTAGAAAGAAAAAAAGATGGCTGACAAAGTATAGAAAAAGTTTGTCAGAATGTCTGCCTAAATATAGTCTAGAACCAGCTAAGAGTTGGCTAAATAGTTATTTTTAGCTGGAGCATTTGATAAAACAAATGCCCTGCAGGCTGAGGTCACCAGTAGTTGACCAGTGAAGGCAGTTTCATTCCACACCACACAGATCACCTGTGTGAGGCAAAAATAACTGATCTGTTCAACCATGTTCAGAGATAAACTGAACAGGAAAAGCTGAAGGTTGGTCTAAAAAGTACACACACAAAAAAGCAGAAAAATAACAAAGAAAAAATAATGTATATGTATATATGTATTTATCTGTAAACATGTATATAGCAGTACTACTATTAATATACTTCTACACTGTTATTAGAAATAAAGTGACGGTGAGCTAAATGCTAGCTTAATGCTAAGTTTTAGCTTAGAAGCTTGCACTTCTCGCAACTGTGGTCTTACTCCTGTGCTACTTATATTGTACTTTGTTGCTCAGAAAAATTCAGTGTGAACAAAATTAATGTTATTGCAAAAACAAAATAAAAAATTCACTTGTATTTCCTAATTCAGCGCACTGAAGCTGTGCCTTCTTTATTTTTCTGAGGAAGCGAGGTATCCACCATTGAACACAGACCCGTTCATGTCACATGTGAGAGGCTGAATGACGCCGTTCTTGCTGATGGAGGCAGAAGCTGCTGCGGGATTATTGTTCTCTTCGGCTCAGAGATGGCACTGGGGCCACAGAGGCCGACGTGACCCCTGTGATCTGAAGGCCACGTGATTCCTCTTTTACAACGGCTAAAGGTTAGAACACCGCGCTGCTCTAGCATTTCCAGAAATGGAAAAACACACAAAGAAGCACACACACATAGCTCTGGCTCCAAAGATACTCTTTTATTGACAGCAATGCATTTATATCATCAATATCAATATATATGTATATATATGTGTGTGTTGAATTCAGATTTTTCTCAAATATATAAGGTAAAAAAAATGGAAACATAAATACAGTTAAATATCATTTGAAATAACTTAAAATTGTAACAAAAGAACAAATTGAACTTGTGGTCATAAAGCCAGCTGACATTTGAGAAACACCAAAAACACAGAATGTCATCACTGGATGTTTGTAGCCATTCCCTTTGTTTAAATTACCATAGCAGTGTCAACATTAACAACTGAAATTAAAGAAGTGAAATTGCAAAAAGGTCCAGTGTTTCAACAAGTGCTTTTTTCTCTCTCTTTTTTTCTCTGCAGAGAAGCCGACCCTGGTCCACTCGACAGCTCCACCTCCTGCTCTCTGACTCCTCACAGAGGTTTAGTCAAACAAAGAAATGACAAAAGCCTTCTTTACAGAGTCCAGCTTCACAGTTTTGTTGTCTCACCAGCTCACATCGTTGCACCAGGCTGACAGACGGACACAGAACAGTCCAGCCCAACATGGAAATCCAGCTTGGTGCCTTTTGAACACAACCCGCATAACATCAAGTTCTTTTTTGATTTCTTTTCCCATCAGCTAGGCTTTAGAATTGATCTGTGGGTGGTCACATGTCCATCAGGGTCCACACCACTGGTCCTGTGCTGATGAAGTTAAATGTCCATTCACAGGCGTTTGTTTTTTTTTTTTGTAGCTCAGACGTCATCGTTCAGGCAGGTTGATGATGGGCACCCACTGGTCCATGCAGCGACTCTCTCTGCAGAATCGGTTCACTTTGCTCAGAGCAGGGTCTTTCCACAATGTGGAATGTGGGTTCTGAAAAGAGCGACAAATTGAAGTGAGTTTTAAATGCATTCCTGAGGTTTTTAATACACCCAGTCAGAAACATAAACAAATGCAGACACTGATGCCTGGGTCACACCCTAAAATAAACTGTGACAGAAGCAAAGGAGGGCTGAAAATGTCATAAAGGGAACATTCTAATGGCTATAAAAGGAGCTTCCACCAACAGCAGTCTTCACATGGCTAGCAATGAGCGAGAATTTCCTCTTCCTAGGCCTGTAGTTGGTACTATGTGTGCATTTGAAAGCTAAATGTTTGGTAGTTGTTCCATTCTTACAAATGACTGGCTTGTTTCTAGCATGCAATGTTTTAGCAGTGAGCTAGTATGTAGCAAATAAGTGGCATGTTAGCACTGTTTTAGCTTGTAGCGTAATAGCGCTTTGTCAGTGCTACACTTGTATGCGTGGTTTACGTCATTTATTTTGTGCAAAAACTAGACCTGAGCTCATCTAAGAACCACAGTCCATGTTCAGCTTGTGTCCAGGAAAGAGACAACAGATTGTAGTTGTAATGAATAAAAACCCAGCATCAGTGATGGTCTGTAGAAGCCTCGTCAGCCTCCATGTGGTATGAACTTAATCTCTATGGTTTCTTACTACACCCACTTACTAACAGTCCCTCCTCTGTGTGTGCGTGTGCTTCTATACAACTGAAATTCCTCAGAAGCCAGCAGAGGGAGGAGTCATGCACGTGTTTATCAAATACAATTGAACATGTACTGGCAAGTACCACCTCTTGTTAGCAGTTTCACCCACGTGAAAGAACCCCCTAAAAAACCTTGACCTTTAAAATATGAGAATGTTTTAGAGACACTTACAGTGACCAGGACACAGTGTAAGTCCATGGGTTCTCCCCCGCTCTGTTTCCCTGCAGCTCCTCCACCCAGAATCTCTGCCAGACGCCGGGTGTTGTTCACTCTCAGGATGTTGATGTCATTTTCGCAGCAGAATGCCTGAATAAGGGTGAAGTGAATCTGCAAGGCCACGTCTTTGACGTCTTCGTCATCGGTGGCCAGGATGCACAAAACCACATTATCAGGGTCTCTGGAAGGAAGAGGACATGAACAGATGAGTTAGAGCCTGGGAGACGACGGTCAACTTTATTATACCACAGGGCGAGTGGTTCTGTTCACAAACACGTTACACTATGGTACAAGATGAAGCACATATGCAGTTGCATTCTTCTTTCCCACACAGTCATCCTGACTTAGACATGATCATAAATGATTACCTAAGCTCAGGAGCTAATGTTTCGTCAGTCCCTTTGTCTGTGTGACCCATGGACTGCATCATTTAGAATGTTAAGACAGACTTTACGCTGAAATATTTGGTTATCTAAGGTTGGTAGCAGCAAAGACCCAGATTCAGGATTTAGTATCAAACAGTTGTTAACTCTGTGATATTGTAGTGTGGACCCACAGTGTGAGAAATTTTGACATTAGAACAAGTGTTTTGTTATGAATTTTCAGTTATTCCCTTTTAGCTCTTCTAGACTAGATCGTTTTGCTATTTCTGAGCTAAAAGGAATCACTATCTGTTCTTACCATCAATGCTTTCACAACCCAAGTTAGTTGACACTTCAGAAAGGTCAAGTTGATGAAAACACCATTTGAACTTATTCTGGGCCATTTATGTTCAGTTGTTTCCTGACTTCTATTTGTTCATGTTTGCTTACTCTACTACCCTTAAAACTACAGCTACTACAATTATATTATCTCTAAACTAAAGCATATCTAGCATTTAGTACACTCCATGCTACTTTAGCTAACTGTTATATTATTATTTCTGTATTATCTATTTATTTTGTTTTAATCAATACATTAATCCAACAATTTTTGTCAGCTTTTTTTCTTTGCTCTTGTATTTGCCTTGAAAAATACAGTTTTCAAATGCTGTGTCGCTAGCATATTCACATTACAATCAAAACAAATCATTTAAAGTCCCTTCAGTCAAACATAAAGATAATCTTATAATAATATTAATAATAGTGACAGCCAAAATATACATGTGGAACTGACATATTTTAATAGTCTGGTTTTTTTCTAAAATTACAAACTGTATGAGTCTGTCAGTCTGAGACTTTGTTTAAGTGTTTGACAGTGTAATACATGTGTCATCCACGGTGATACTACTCAGGTACTTACACATTCAGAGACTTGGCAGCTTCGTACACTCCGACTGTGATGCAGCCCTGTGGTAACGCTGACGCGAGCACTTCTTCTAAAGCTTTCGCCACTGAATCCATTCTGTAACACACAGTAAGTAATTAAAAAACAATCATTACCAACATCAAACAAAAAAAGAAGTCCCAATCTCATTTTTATGGCTAATGCTAACTCAGCTAACGAACCGACGTCACTTCAGTCAAAAAGCCGGCCGGTGCAAAAAGAAAAAAGAAAGGATAAATTATTCCGTTTTTTATTCATTAAAACTACCTATAGTGAATCTTTCTGATAGTAAAGTTACTTTTAGCGTTTGTGCTAAAACGACATGTTAGACTTTGTGTGTAAAATATTACTTTGTCAGCTTAAAAAACGCTGCACTGGGTCGTCGCAAAGGGGCAGTTGATAAGGAATACACTATGCGTTTTAACACCGCCAGGCGAACAATTCAAGTTAAAAACAGCTTTAAATCCCTCTTTGCCATGCATTCATCTATTCATGCATCCACTCTCTGCTTGCTGCTCCGCACACACTGGTAGAAGTCGGACTACAGTATCATTATACAGTATTTACCTTTCCTGCGGATATTCTCCGTTTAGTTCCTCAAATGTCATGGTGTACATAAAATCCAAATCCACTCTAGGTCACAGACGCAGAGTCCTGTTCCTGTTCTGGCCTTTTTGGTCTGTCTTTTATCTCCACACTCTCTCGTTTATCTTTAGTCAACTGTTCTGCTGCTACTGAGAGATAACTTTGGTAACTTCACGTTAATAGTGTCAGGGACCGTGTGAGTCAGGAGGACATTTACATAAAGCGGGCGATTGGTTATATGCTAATATAAGTGTGTACTCATTGGACAAAACAGCAGCAGGAGTGGCTCAGTTACTACGATGGCTCTCTTCTGATCATTATGCCCTCTGCTGCCATCTACTGTAAGAACATCATAAAGTCAATGTTTTATTTATACACTTTTACAAACTCATTCTAACGTTTAGGTCATATTTGTACAGTATGGTCCCGGTCATATGAAACTGTACTTCAAGAGAAACGCGCCTTAACATTACAAATTAGGGTTGTGAGTAGTAATTTTATGGGAATATAGTAATATTACGAGACTGTTGAAGCACAGAAAGTTTAGGTGATCCTAAAGATGTGGCAGCACATTCTGTTATATTACTGTTTGTTCCGTTTTGCCCCTGAAAGTTAGCGCAGTGGTTGTTTGTAGGAACAGTACTTGATTCAAATTAAGCATAAGATTTAGCTAAGTTTAGCTTCTTAAGACACCTTTGAGACGGAAATTTATCTTTTATTACCTATTTTACAGTTTTCTGGACTTGGCTATCTTTTAATTATCATGTGATTATTTCTTTAAGTTTTGGACACAAATGTTATTCCGAGTTCTTGAACTTAAAAACGTTTTCCCCTGCAATGCAGTAATTTACGAAAAACGAAACAAATTAAACAGAAGTCAAAACCGCGAATTAAGTTATTTTTCTATTCAGGGTTGAAATGAAGAAGAAGTAAATAATGTGCAGCAGGACTCACCGTGGCTGTCGGTCAGGGCAGGTCGGCACCGGGCAGGTTTGGATTACCATGGCAACCAGACGCTGCTGGTGGAAGCTGCGCCATGATTGGTCAACAGCAGCGCGTGCCAAAACCCACCGAAACCGCGTGTAGTTAGTTTTTCGTCCTAAATAATGAACATAGAGTTGTCGTGGTAAATAAGAAATCGGCCTTTGACAGGAGTTTGAGAAATTAACTTGCAAATATTGCTTTTCTGTACAGAAACCCATCCTGCTGCAGGGCCACGGACGGTCCAGTAATTCTCTGCCAGATTTGACTTGCAATTGTGTTACAAACATAAGGCTATATGCTCTATAGTGTGTATGATATGAAAATCATATTTGTAATCATGCAAAGGGAACAGAGGCCAGTAGAATTGATTTATTTTCATTAAAATTAAAAGGAAAGTAGCGCAACATGGATTTCTTCTCTCCTGAGGTTATTGGTGGCGTCAGTAATGTAGAGCAAACCAATAATTTGTGAAGTGAAGCCATGGTTGCATTGAAGCCTTTTAATGTTTACCTTCAACAATGTCTCCCTACACAGGTGGCCAAGAGTGTCCAAATGTAGTTTGGACAGTTTTTGATTCCAGCTCATTCTTC